ATGGAGGAAGAGAGAAGGAGGAGGGGGAGGAGGAGGTGGAGGGGGAGGAGGAGGAGGAGGAGGAGGAGGATGAGGAGGAGGAGGAGGGGAAGACGACGACGACGACGACGATGCTGCTGCTGCTGCTGCTGCTGCTGCTGCGGCTGCTGCTGCTGCTGATGATGATGATGATGATGGTGATGATGGTGGTGATGGTGGTGGTGGTGATGATGATGATGAGGATCATGATGATGATGATAAGGATTGGGCTGATGGTGATGGTCGTGGTGATGATGCAGGCGATGAGTATGATGCTGCTGCTGAGGATGATGATGCTGATGATGACGATGACGATGATGACGACGATGATGATGATGATGATGATGATGATGATGATGATGCTGACGGTGACGATGATGCTGATGATGATGATGCTGATTATGAGGATGATGATGATGCTGCTGCTGATGATGATGATGATGACGAGGAGGAGGAGGAGGAGGAGGAGGAGGATGATGATGCTGATGAGGCTGATGATGACGACGACGATGATGATGAACACTTTGCAGGTGATACTGATGATGCTGATGATGAGGATGATTCTCCAAATAGGCTTGCCCTACAGGAGTCCTAGCTCATCATGAGTAATTGGTCTTTAGCACCCCTCCTTTTTCCCAATGGCACCCCCCTCTATTTCCAATGGCACCCCCCTCCCCCTTCTTCCAATGACCCCCCCTTATTTCCAATGGCACTCCTTGCTTGCCCTTTCTTGCTTGCACTTGATCGCTTGCCCTTGCTTGCTCTTGCTTGCTCTTGCTTGCCCTTGCTTGTTTGCATGTTTGTTATTGCTTGCTTGCGCTTGCCTGCTTCCGCTTGCTTGCTTGCGCTTGCTTGATTTTGCTCCTCCAGTCCTCCTCCCGTCCTGCTCCCCCCTCCTTTCGTCCTCCTCCCATTCTCCTCTCGTCCTCCTCCTGTCCTCCTATCTATTTGGAGTCAACGCTGGCTGATATGATGATGATGATGATGATGATGATGATGATGATGATGATGATGATGATGATGATGATGATGATGATGATGATGATGATGATGATGATGAGTAGGAGTAGTAGTAGGAGGAGGATGACGAGGAGGAGGAGGAGGAAGACCTGTGTAAACCTACGATTCATCAGCGAGGTTGGAATACACCCTTTCTTCAAGCTCTCTCTTTATAGGCCCCTACAAGGGCTCGTTTCCATGGACGGAGGTGTCGCGTTGGGGGACAACCGTGCAAAAACCCTGAAGCGTGCCCAAATACCATTCTCAGGACTTCAACGCCACGAGTTAACCTGAGTGTGAGGTCTTGGCGATCCCGGATCGTGCCAGAATGCCACCCCTGGGGCTACAACGCAGCGAATCAGCGTAACCGTTGCGTCCCGGCATTTTTGAATCGGTCCAACACACCGTTTCTGGTACGTTAACGATTCACGATGAGAATTCGTATAGAACGAATGTGCGCGGCGCTAAGGCGAGAGCCACATTTTGAAAGGGAGCCGCCCTCAATCCGTGAAACTCTCGGGAACTTTTTAGACGAATGTGTGCGGCGCTAAGGCGAGAGCCGCATTTTGAAAACGACCCGTCCTCAATCCGTGAAGCTCCTGCAAATTGTGAAGACGAAGGTGCGCGGCGCCAAGGCGAGAGCCACATTCTGAAAACCATCCGCCCTCCATCTGTGAAGCTGCTCTCAGGATCTTCGAGTCCAGGGTCGCAACTGGTGAGGACGTCTCGGCCGCAACGCCCCGCCCGCCCCCTCGACCGGCCTCGGGTAGCGACAGGGAGGAGTTTCATCTACAAGGCAAAGGACTGGAGGGCGCAGAAGGGCAAGCCCAGGGCCAGCGGGGCCCCCTCGCCTCTCGCCTCCCGCCTCTCGGGGACTCGCGCGGCGGGGGCCCGCGCTCCAGGGGGAGCGAGGAGGAGGAG